CTTAAGAATAAAATAATCAAGAAAGTTCTCACATAAAGCCGGGGACAAAATTAAATTTACCTCAGTGGAAGGGTTCTGTTACGTTTTCCGTGGTTGAAGCAAGGTTGAAGCAAGGATGAAGCAGGACCCAACAGCAGCACACTTTATTCAATAGACTACAAACCATACAAACTTAGACAGGAAACCAAACTCAGGAACATGATTCAAGAATAGCAACAACCACCATACACGTAAACAATCAAACAAGAACTCACAAAGACAGGGCTGAAACACAAGAGACATAAGAGGGCTTAAATACAAGGGACAAACGAGCTAGACAAGATAACCACAAGATACCACTCAAGGGGGAGTGGTAAATCCTAAACACCTGTGAACAATGATCAGACAATTAACAAGACACATTGCAAACAGTGAATCACAGGACAGACAAGAACAAGAAACAAAAGACAAAACCCACACCGTGACATAGCCCCTCCCCTATGGGCGGCTCCCGACACCCATCAAAACCACAAAAGTTCAGGAGGGTGTGGTGAAGCAGAGGCTGTCACGTTACAGTTACCAAAAGTGGAGAGGAGGACTCAAGTGCAGCAACGGATGATTTATTAACAAAAGAAAACAAAACACAAAGCAAAAACCCACAAGGGGGAAAACACAATAAATGAGACATTAAACAAAACTGAAACTTGAAGAACAAACACTGACTCTGAACACGAAGACCATCACACGGAAACTGGGAAAACATATGACAACGATCCGACAAAGACTGCAAACAAGAGGAGACTTAAAAAGGGAACAAATCAAGAGGGAACAGGTGGAAGAACTCAAACACTAATCAGGTAACAAGGGGGAGGGATCAAACAATAATGAGAGCACATGGCCCAACATAACAAAGACACCCAAGTGCAATACAAGACAGGACAGACACGTGACAGAGGCGGTCTTGGGGGAGGGACGGAGGGCCAGGCCCCCACTGGGAACCGGGACCAGAATATAGGCAAGGCGGGCCTGGGTCGTGAAGCGTGAGCGACCAGGGTGGAGCAGGATCTGCAGGCGACCAGGGTGGAGCAGGCAGTGCAGGCGGCCAGGGCGGAGCAGGATCTGGCGCAGACCATGGTGGAGCAGGATGCGCAGGCGGCCAGGGTGGAGACGACCCTTAGGGCGGCCAGGGAGGAGACGACCCCTCGGGCGGCCACGGCGGTGAAGACCCCTCGGGCGGCCATGGCGGTGAAGAACCCTCGGGTGGCCACGGCGAGTACCTACTGCCCCCCCCCCCCCCAAAATTTTCTTGGGGGTAGCTATGGGGTCATAGGCTGGACCAGGCGCCGGCTTGGGAACAGGAACAGATCGCGTCTCACTAACAGACCGCGTCTCACGAACAGACCGCGTCTCACGAACAGACCGCATGGCGGAGGCCACCTTGTGCAGAGTCTCTGGATCGGCAGACGTGACGTGAACGGTCTCTGGATCGGCAGACATGACGTGCACAGTCTCTGGATCGGCAGACATGAAGCTCGGCTGGACTGGACGGAACCAGCGTTGCAGGCTCGGCTGTGCTGGACGGAACCAGCGGTGCAGGCTCGGCTGGGCTGGACGGAGCCAGCGGTGAAGGCTCGGCTGGACCGGCGTGAAGTGCAGGTTCGTCAGGGCTGACTTGGAACACAGGTTCGACAGAGCTGACGTGATGCTCAGGCTCAGCAGGCGGGGCGGTCTGGACGAAACGAGTCCCAAGCAGAATAGCCTTCTTGGCAACCCGTGCTGACCTCAGCGGGGAATCGGCCACGCTGGACACCAGACCCGGACTGCTATAGATCAATCTGGTGGGTGGCTTGATAATGGGAGTGACGTAAAGACCAGACTGAAGGGATACTATGGGTTGATGGAGTTTCTTCTCCTTCATGTCCACAGCAAACGACGAATCGCTCAGGAAAAGGGCCAGGTTGATATACCGTTCTAGCGTCCAGTCGGTATAGTCATCTGGCATCATAAGAGCGATGCCCTCGTCTAGTCCGCTCCGGAACAGCTCTATAAGCTGGGCGTCGTCTAAGGACGCTAAATGGCAGCAAGCCCAGAAGTCTTTCACATACCTTACTATGGGCTGGCCATCTTGTGACATTGACAACAGGTATCTCCTTAGGGCCTGGTTGTTTGTGACTACTGGATCCATAGTTTTGGTGAGTTCTTCTGTTACGTTTTGCGTGGTTGAAACAAGGATGAAGCAGGATCCAACTGCAGCACACTTTATTCAATAGACTACAAACCATACAAACTTAGACAGGAAACCAGACTCAGGAACAGGATTCAAGAATAGCAACATACACGTAAACAATCAAACAAGAACTCACAAAGACAGGGCTGAAACACAGGGCTTAAATACAAGGGACAAACGAGCTAGACAAGATAACAAGGGGGCGTGGTAAATCCAAAACACCTGTGAACAATGATCAGACAATTAACAAGACACATTGCAAACAGAGAATCACAGGACAGACAAGAACAAGGAACAAGAGACAAAACCATGTGTTAGTACCAAGTCTAATGTATGGCCATGCATGTGGGTTGGGTTCAATGAAACAGCTTAAAGGGGTCATATAATGCCATTTTTGTACAAGCTAATATGATTCTTTGGGGTCTAAATTAAAAGTTTGTAATATACTTTAATTAAAAATTCTCATTAGTATTGTAAGAAAACAGTTATTTTACCTGGTCAAAAACAGCTCTGTTTTCAGCACGCCGTTTCAGTGCATATGACTTTAAATGATCATGAGCTTTGCTCACCCCGCCCCTCTGTTCTGTGCGTACACGTTTTTAACACAATAACCATAACGCGTTGTTCATTATAAACGTGGGATTATGAATTAAATTGAGAACGTCGTACATAGAAAACATCCAGTAATGTACCCTGAGTGTAAACCTTAGACTCATTCATCGTGAAGCGTGCAAGCGATTTGCAAAGATATAAATATTAATATAAAGGTTAATAAAACGTTACACTCACTTCAGTTGTTCTAGAGGTTCAGCAGGAACACGAATAGCTGGTACCGATCCTTTATTCAGGAGCAGCTTCTTAGCAAAACCAGCTCATACTGACCCTCGTTTATAAAGCAGTCTGGTGAGAAATGATTTGCGCAAACATGAAAGCATTGACGTTGCTCGTGGGGAATATTCCCTTCGAAAACAAACTCAGCCACTGCGTCTTCAGCGGTTCAGATTTAGGAACATCAAAATGACTGTGTTCGTTATTGCACCCAAGAACAGAACACCACAATCGCTTAGACGCCATTCTGCTCATAGACAGTGCTCCAGCATATCAACAATGACCGCGCCGGTCCGCGCAGACTATTATTGACAGCTGGCTCACGAGCGAGGGCGGGTCTGTGTTGAAACCCGGCTGTCAATCAACAATCGCGGGAGGGGCGTCCGACCGTGTGACGTCACAGGCTCGAACGGCTCGATTTGAGGCAGGGGAAAACATATAAGGAGATTAAAACAAAAACACTGGATGGATTTTTATCATTATATGATGGTTGTGTACAGGCACTGCCAACACACATTTCAGTACAATCAACTTGAAAAAGTGCATGTACCATTATATGACCCCTTTAAGATGTCACGTTACATACGAAAGCCTTGACCATTTAGGTTGCTAGTAAAATAGAGAGGAGTATTTGGCTAAATATATGCACTATATTACATATTTATTATATTTTTACTCATTATAAACAGATTATAATGTTATTATTATAAAAAAACGCATTATATTATAATTTGAGTTGTCAATTTTAACCTTTAATAACAATATTAGCTACTCCCTGTATGTTTACAGCATTAGTTGAGAGATTTTTTCCTTGTGAAGATTAACATGTCACTACTGAACCTGATATTTATACAAATGTATCGATATTGAATCAAGATCGGAATCTATGGGATGCATGCTATATTGATCACCATAGTATCAGCCGATAAATGCTAATTTTTAATGTTATATAATGCTGATATATTTAAGCTGCATGAGAGATAATGTATTATTTCTTTCAGCAGAGACATTTCAGATGCGTGCTGTTCATCATGGTTTTGAATAACTTGATTGGAATCACTACGAAAAGGAAGATACAGTTTAGTCCAACATGTGCAGCACAAATATGTCATATAGGCTACATAAAATTATAATGAGAACACTATTTTAATAAAATGTTGTGAATTCTTTGGGTTTAGTTGCTGTTTCAGTGCGTTATTACAGGAAGAGCGCATCCACAACAGGAGTTGCTACATTCACTACGTACATTGACTATGTAACTTAGTTCAAGTTCATCTGTGCGTGATTTTGTGAAAATATAAGTCAATTTATTATGTTTATTTTGTATGTATGATTTATCGAATGAGTTCCGTTGAGCTAATTAACCTGCTAGCAAAGCGCTTCAGGTGTTCATCAGAAAGTAAGATTAAGAGTTTACAATTACTGTAATATTACAAATGTTTAATATTTTTTCAAAAACATTGATGCGTTATTATTAATAACTAGCACTTTTATTGTTCTCTTATTCTTTATCAACAATATTGTTTGATTAATGTCATTTCCTTATTGTCCATGCGGAGGCTATTCCATGGCACATGTATTTTGTTTCTGTACATAGCCTGTCACACTGTGGTTTCCTCAGGAACAGAATGAAGACTCCGATTATAGATACAAACTCAAACTTTAATAATAGTATTCTGGAACAAGCTGACAGGCAGGGAAAACACACATAAACAAAACGGAGATGGGACAAAGACTGAAAGAAAGGGTGCATCTTAAATAGCAAACAGAAACGAGATAATTACATACACATCTGGGACAAATTAACTCATAATGATAGTAACCGTAGAAACGAAGGAGTGGCGGGAAAAGAACAAAGGAAAACAGGAACCAATCAAAATACAAATTGAAAGTCCAAACATGCACTGACGTGACATTACGCCCCGGGAGGCGCGTCCTCGCACAGTAAAACATCCAAAGGGGTGGGATGGTGGGCGCCCTGGAGGCTGACGAGGGCGTCGCTTCGGTAGAACGGGAAGCCTCCAGGACGGTGGCGGCAGTTCAGGAGACCAGGGGGGAGCCGGCAGCTCGGGAGACCAGGGTGGAGCAGATAGTGGGAGGAGCCAAGGAGGAGAGAGGAAGGACTTGGAGCAGGAGGAGCATTTCGGTGCATCCCTATCAGAATCAAATCGTAAGCTTATGAATTGAAATCGTGAAATTTTTGTTAAGTACTAATAAAAACATTGGCCAACCAATGTTGTACCATGTAACATTTATAACATGTTGACACTAAACTAAACTTTTTTAACTAAATTCTGTTATGCCAAATGTTTTGACAATCACAATACAATTATTGTGCAGCAAGTTTTTTTTACAAACCCTTCAATCCAACCAATAACACCCTCCACCTACCATAATTCTCACTCCAAGCTAAACTCAAAAGTTGGCAGCCGAGTATATTCGTGAGACAGTGCAAATTGAGACCTGAAGTAAACTGTGCAAATTGCAAGAGCTGGAGTAAACTAGCTAGCGCTTGTAAGGTGGGTACAGGCAATATGTATTTTCCCTGTCGTGATTGTTTGGCTTATTTTCGTTCAATCATTTCTCAAAAAAGGCTAAATCATTTTACCTCAGGACGCACAAGTGGCCAAAGAATAGTTTAACTGCGTCATCTTCTGCATGAGCAGAATTATTGTGATCTGAATTTTATCATAAATACATTAAAAAAAAGAATCGCATTAAAAATGAGATATTTCATGCTTGTTAAAAAGTCTAGCATAATGTCTCTTATGGCGCTTTTCCATTACCAGTACAGTACCTGCTGAACTCGACTCGACTCGGCTTGCTTTTCGCTCCGTTTTCCATTACAGATTGTACCTCCACAATAGTACCTGGTCGTCATAGCGACGCCACAGGAAACTGCCGCGGATCCTCTCTTCGGCAGCCAAACAAAGGAAAGTCTGCATCTCCTCATTTGACCACGGATTATTCTTATTAGTTGCCATAATAGTTGCCATAATAGTCAGTGGCGTCATGCCCATTCAAAGTGAGGGGGCACGTGCCCCCTCAGATTTTTCCTCCCTGATAATTTTTTATTTCTTCAGTCTTGTTAAAATCAGATTCAGCGCGTTGTTCATCTTCAATCCGCAGCGGTGCCGAGCAGAGCGCACGTCCGAAACAGAGGACAGGGTGTGTGTGTGTGTGTGTGTGTGCGTGCGTGTTCATCTGAGCCTCATTGGTCTGCCACTGCTCGTCAATGTCAGAATATTTGAGATGACGAATCAAATCAAAGTAGGCGGGCTTTATGTTCACAGAAGCTGAGCGACGCTTCAGTGTACAGTCAAGTGCGAGATGTAAGTAGCTAAACTAAACATTTCATATTTGACAGTTTTTTTAGTTCATAAATGTTAAACGAATGACAAAAATAATCAGGCACACGAATATACTTTTGTCTAATTTCGCCATTTTGAACTGAAAATAGGCCTATATAACGTGACTCGTAATGTAGGCTAATAGTTTACTGTCATTGTGAGGGGAAAAGACGTTTTCATTGTTAGGCACACGATTAATAATGAATGTGTACATATTGAGAATTAATATAGTACAATTTGTAGCCTTAAGTAAATTAAAAAAGCTCAGCTTTAGGAGGGGAAGGCAAGATCAGGAGACTGAGAGAAAAAGAAAGAGTGATGGATAAGAAGTGAGAGCAGGTATTGACAAATAATCTGCCCACTGACATGGTTTTAAAGCTATTTCTTATCCTTTTTTTGGCCTTCAAACGTCTTGACATGCACATATCAGAGAAATAAAACATTTGAACCCCCTACCCACCTCAAATTTAGGACCTCTGTGATTATAAAGCCCTGTCTACGGCCCTGTATTAGGCATAAGATCAATAATGAATGTGTACTGTGAATGAATTTAATAAACTTAGTTAGGCTACCTAGCTTTCCTAGTAGCTTTCAGTAAATAAATTCGTCTGAGAAAATGATTCATAAATCAATCTATCAGTTGACCCTATGTTTACTTTCTTCACTGACAGACAAAAATGAAAAGCCTATCAGTCAAAGCTCAACTTTAGGAGTTGTTTTGGCCTTCAAAACATCTTATAATGCACATATAATATACACATATACTTTAACTTAGTCCTCAGATAGAGGAGGGTTGCTGCTAGCTCCGTTAAGGTATTTCTGTCCCTCCCAAACTGCATTGAAATAGTATGTTTCGCAGCCAGAATTAAAAAAATTTCAGGGGGAGAAACCCCCTGACCCCTCCTAACATGATCCATATCACCCGTCAGAAAACAATTGCAACGTCTCAGATTGTGCCCCCCCAGAATTTTGGCTTGCATGACGCCCCTGATAATAGTAGTAATGGGTATATCACGCAATCTCTGGCCAAACTATTTAAAAATGGCGGGGTTATTCAGGATACTCTGAATAGTGACGATTCTCTCTGACCAATCAGCAGTCTGCAGTGTTTTCACGTCACATTTTAGTACCGCCTCAGCTCACTCAGAACCTATGAAAAAACGGGAAAAAAAAGTACCTGAAAGCAGGTACAGGTACAACTTTTACACAGTGGAAAAACAAACAAAGGCGAGTCGAGTCGAGCTGGTACTGTGTAGTGGAAAAGCACCATATAAGGGCTTACGTTTGGAGTTTTCCATTAAAAAGTCTACCATTCACGGCACGTTTACATGTGACAAATCGCAAACATATATTAAAAGGTGTTGTCACGAACTGCTCCAAGACAAGAAGGTTGAGGATCCAAATGCAGTATTTATTGAACAGGGTAATCCAAAGACGTAATCCAAAGTACAGGCAAGGTCAAACACAGGCAGGCAGTCCATACAAACAAACACAACAAGGCAGGGAACACGGGCAAAAGAGTAATCCACGGAACAGGCAAGAAATCCAAAACCAAGAGACATGAAACCAGGGAGAATGCTTGGAATTGCAGTGTAACACTAAAAACAAAACTTTGCAGACAAGAAATGAGAAAAACCAGGCTTATATGGGGTGAGCTAAACAAGATAATGAGACACAGGTGAATGTGATAATGGATGAAGAAGAGTCCGGGCCATAGCTGTCAACATTGAACATTGAATATAAAGGAGATTTCCCGGAATCCATCCCCAAAATAAGGGAATTTTTTTACACGATTCTTACCCACCACAAACTTTAAAAATAAAGCACTAATCATTAAAAGTCTAAAGAGTTTATAACTACAAATGAGTGAGAGAGAAAGAGACAGTGTGTGTGTGTATTAGAGAAAGTGTGTCATTTTTTAAACATTTTTTATCAGAGAATGTTTAAATACTAATATCAGCTTACGAGGGAAACGGTACGTGGTGCTTCGGGGGCTGCTGGAGATGATTAGGGAGAGGTCTGTGCTCCTTTACCGATCAAAGCGCGCGCTGACACGGAGTATAATTGTTTATACTTGACGCGTCCGCACGAGCGCGGCAAAGATTACGCGTTAGGTGCGCAAGACCAGCAAGACCCCATTTCGCTTGGCTGTGTGCACAGCTTTTTTTGTAACAGCGCGCGCGGCGCCGCATCCGAGGATGAACGACTTCAAGCCGAATCTGCCCGAGCATGTAGGCTACGTCTCACACAACCAGAGCGTAAAAATACTGGATATTTTACGGGAAAATAATAAAACGGGAAGACAGCGGGAAAAGAGCTAAAATACGTGAGAAACCCGGAAAAAACGGGAGGGTTGACAGCTATGGTCCGGGCAGTGAGTCATGGGAGATGTAAGGCTTGTTCGACTTCATGCAGCTCTGCGCAGACCGATCGGCGGCTGACTTGAAGCAGTGCATGCCGGTTAGAAATGTTGTCCGACTTGATACAGCGCCGACGCCACGTGACTGTGACGTATGCCATCAAAATACCGCGAGAGCGATTCGAGAGAAGCCGGAGAACTCAGCCAGCGCAGCTTCTGAAGAGCGGCTGCTCGGGGCTGCACGAGCTCTGATGACGACACAGCTGTTCCACGATTGGCCGGATTCACCGCATGACAACGATCACGTGCGTTTCGTGTTTATTCTCACACCTTTAGTTCCACTAAAGCTCACAAATCAGTTTTTTATAACAGTAAACACTCTTTTCATGTAGTCGTGATGTTAGGCTATATTGTGTTATGTTTATCAAAATAAAAGTGATTAAAAAACGTCGACTGGATTCATTGATAGTGGCTATTTTGAACTTTATTCTTGTTCAAACAGATGCATGAAGCAGTACATAAAGTATTGAATGAAAATGTGTCTGAAACATCTGTGCATTTGGCAAATATTGAATTTATTTCACTTCAGCTGTGGTAAAGTATACAAACACCATGTGAGCGGTCACTACGGGAACCAGAAAGTGTCCGACTTCACGTCTCCGTTTGCAGCTCCTCCCCGCCTGCACGCGGCTACTCTCGCCGATCACTTACATCCAGCCGCAGCCGATGTCGAACACACCTCTTGATTGTGAGGGAATGACAATAGTCTGATGTGGAGTGGCACTCCAGCTGGTGACCATTACAGGTGTATGCCTACTCAGTAATTGTTCCCTTATTCATAAAAGCTTTAGCACTAAATAAATAATTACAACAATCTGTCTGTTTAATGGGGTGACTGTTTTGCAATTGTGAAGTGTCATTCTTAATTGTTTAAATGTTATTAAAATAAAATTAAGACAGAAAAATATAAGTATTATTTTATATAAGCATTTTTTTTGGGGGGGGGGGGGGTGGGGGTTGGACCAAATATCCTTTTAAATGTATTAAAAAAAAATTTTAAACTAATGAATTATCTTTTTCTACAATATACAGACATTTATTTGGAATTTTCTCTTTAATAAATGTAAATCTCGCTGTTTTCACACTGTCATTACCATCAAGGCAGCAGTATAAAAATAAGAATTTGTTCATTCATATAGTTTTACTGGGCAGCAAATCAATTTAAGTATCATATAGCCTCCAAAGTGCAAATGAGATGAGGTCATATGCTCCATGCTTTAGTATTTCAATCTGTATTTGCCATTGGATGTCCCATGACCGCCTGATCTATATGTAAACAATGATACTATGTATTGTATGAATTACAAAGGTCGGGTTTTACAGGTCTAAGCACTGGTATATAAAGGAAACTCCTTTAGAGCATAGTGCACTGCACCCATATCACTAGTAATCTCTGTTATTTGCTATTATTCCGGAGCAAGAGTTGCTTTTTGTTCTTTTACATTTTCTGCTTTTCTCTCTCTAAACAGCTCAACAAAGCAGCAATAATGAGTTCTTGTTCGGGACCAGAAAATGCCAAAGTTGTAGTGGTAGGTTCAGGTTTTGCAGGTTTGGCTGCTGCAGCCAAGTTAGTGGAGGCAGGATTTGAAAATGTCCTGGTTCTTGAGGCAAAGGAAAGAGTTGGAGGCCGAGCGCACACCACTAAACCGTTCAGCGAGAATGTCATTGAAGTTGGAGCTAACTGGATCCACGGGCAGAAAGGAAACCCTCTGTTCAAGATTGCGAAAGAGGAGAACCTGCTATCTGAGGGACCTTCTGCACGCAAAAACATGTGCCAGCCTCGTTCTGTAACTCCTCAAGATTACTTTTTCAAAGAAGATGGGAAGCAGGTCTCCACAAAAGTTGTAGATCAGGTGAGTTCGTGCTTCAGCAAGCTCACCGACAAAGCTTTTGATGATGAACTCAAGAGCAGGCACAGGAAACTAACTCTAGGTGCTTATCTGGATGATGCTTTTGGTGAAGCTCCTTTAGCGGCGACAGAGGACGCCCGGCAAGTTTTTGAATGGTGCAAGAGGAATGAATGCACAGATGAGGCTTGCTCCACCCTCTATGAGGTTTCTGCATCTCAGATTAGCAATTACACTGCTCTAGAAGGAGAGTTTTTTAATACATTGGGACCTGGTGGCTATCGAGCAGTTTTGGATGTTCTCCTAAAAGATCTGCCTTCGGGAACTGTCCAGTGTAGTGCACCGGTCAAGAGCATCCAATGGGACTTGGTCAAAAAAGGTAGTGGTGAAGATCAAAGGTATCCTGTTAAGGTCGTCTGTGAAAATGGACAGAGCTTTGAGGCAGATCATGTGATTGTCACTGTATCTCTGGGGGTTCTCAAAGACAAAGCGACAACCATGTTCGAACCGTCCTTACCGGAGAAAAAGCTGTCTGCAATTGAGAATCTTGGCTTTGGGATAGTGGACAAAATTTTCCTGTTTTTTGAGGAAAGTTTCTGGCCAGACGACTGTTCCGGGGTTCAGCTGGTGTGGAAAGAAGGGCCTGAAGATAAAGATGTTTATGAGGCTCTGTCTGAAGGAGAAACCTGGAAAAAGACGTGGTTCAAGAAGATCACTGGTTTTGATACAGTGGCTCGTCATCCTACGGCTCTGTGTGGCTGGATCACAGGTAGAGAAGCTCTGTATATGGAGAATCTTCAGGACAGTGAAATCGGAGCTATATGTGTGAGGTATGGTGACATAAATTATGAAATATATGATGTATGATCATTTTAACATGGCCAAATATCTCTCGGTCAAATATCATGCCTCTCTCCATATATAACAAACTCTGTTTTGTCTTTAAAGGTTGCTCAGGTCTTTCACAGGCTGGACAGTGCCAGAAGTCTCAAAGACACTGATCACCAGATGGGGCTCTGATTCCCACGTCCGTGGCTCCTATACATTTATTCCTGATGGTGTCAATGGAGTGAAAGCACACAAGGCATTAGCGTCACCTCTTCCCCCTAAATATAAATGCAGAGGCAGGAAGGTAACTCTTAATATCTTCTATAAGTGTTCGATTATTTAGGTTATATGCATATATTTAGTATGAGCCAGTGTTATTTTAGTATTATTTATATACTATCATTGTATTTGTAAAATGTAATAATTAACTTTTATATTAATGTTTTCAGTTATTTTAAGTTTGAGTAATTTTTTTTGTTTTTATCATTTTTATTCGTTTAATTTTTTTTTTTTTTTTACATGTTAGTGATTTTAGTACTTTAACTTATTTTACATCAATTAGTTTAATTTCCCTTTATTTTATTACAACTTTATTTCAATGAACATGAACATTTTTTCATTTTTAAAAATGATTAACAAAATGATTTTATTTCTCTGTTTTTGAAGCACCTTCAGGTGTTGTTTGCTGGAGAAGCTACACATGATAAATTCTACACCACGACCCATGGAGCGTACCTCACAGGCGTCAGAGAAGCAGAAAGACTCATAAGCTATTACGCCGATTGAACATACAGTACCAAAAAGAAAAGAGCATAGCCTACACTTTGGTTTCATGAAGATAACATTTTACGATCATTTAACATTTTATAGACTTCTTCTCACGCCCTAGCCTTTCACATGTTTTGTGTTTAAATGACCCATAGCTAGTTTATAACTGCCTGACAAACAGCATTTCCGAATGCTTACATCCAACTGATCACATTATGCATATCTCTGTCTGGTTAAATGTTATTACTCCAACATTTGTTAATTCTGGTCATTTGTTAAACTGTGTTATATTTTATATTTTTTATAATATATGTTATATTTTTTATTATTATTTAATTAAGTATATTAAATGAAGTAAATTAGTGGTCCTCAAACTGTGATACATATACAGTACCCTCGGGTGGTATGCAGCGTGATCCTGGAAATTTACACTATTTAGAAAATCGTTCTAAAATTGCCTTGAATATATTTAGGGGGGGGAAGTTGCTAAATATAAAATGACTTTTGCAGTGAGACAGTGCCTTGATTAAAATAAATTGTTACGCTGGGAATATCTATGGTGAGCACAGGCAATCAAAATCACAGGCAATAATCATCACAGATACTACACGCAATTATTGCATAATATATAGGCTATAAAATAAGCTATATAATATATGATATTTTTATTTCTTATGCATCTGTTGTGATCCTTTTCTATGTAAAGCACTTTAAATTACCATTGTGTATGAAATATGCTATATAAACTTGCTTTGCCTTGCAATCACAGTCAAACTTTGTTTCCAAATGCTGTTAATTTTATAAACTTTTGTGAACCCAGTAAGTATAATCACAATGGAAGCATCCATTCCAAACTGAAATACATATGCATCCATCACAGTTCATAGAGATAAAAAAAGCTTGATGGTGGTCAGATTAAGGCAGCCTATCGGAAAAGATGTTCAAGTCATCCTAACTGGTAGAAAAAGCCCATAGTTTGATAGTCTCCAAAACCTCTCTAAAACCAGCAAATCATCAGAAAACGATCTTAGGCTGCAAGTTGTTCTAGGATTGTAGTTATCACAATAGTTTAATCAGGGACACGTTTAACAAACTTGAAAAGTATTTGAAAAACATAAGCAGTCAATGGGCCTACAGGTTACCTCAGAAACCTAGTGGTACAGCATAATGATTATGAATAAATTCTACTATTATAAATTCTAATAATTAAATATACGTATAATTATTTCTAATGTATGATTCAAGTATATTCGCGAGACAGTGCAGACAGAGACAGAAGACAATAGAATGCAAACCTTGAGAATATTTAGCTGCAGTAAACTGTAGAAGGCGTTTGTGAAGTGGGTAAAGCGATATACCCTGTCGTGTTATTATTATTTGTTGAAGGATATTTTTCTTCGATTATTTCTCGTTTTCGTTGGTTTATCTGCTTGAGTTGTAGCCTATATGGATTCGTTGTTTGGAGGTTTTTGATGTATAGGTCATTTCATAAACAGTTAATCTTAAATTTGGCCGAAGCCACTTTACCTCAGAACGCACAAGTGGCCAAAAAGAATAGTTTACTAGCGCCATCTTCTGCATGAGCAGAGATGTTGTAGAATCTGTATCTCATCCGGGGGTTGGAATCGTGTCAAGAATATTTTATTAATTTATTTTTGTTCGTTTGGGGGTTGAACCAAGAGACCACACTGTAGTTGCAGCCGTTGTGTACGTTACTGACCGTACTGACGCGCCAAGTATAACTTACTGCAGTTAACGCCGGACAGAAGGAGATTCAGGCGTAAATGGATGGAGAGATGGAGAGAGAGAAGCATAGGTTACTGTAAAGCTACGTCTTAGTTTGTGCTTATCTTGGCGAAAGCCGAGTACAAATCAGCATGAGGTTTAACATCTACTCTAGTGTAACGTTAATGGAAATCTACAAAGACATTTAATTTGAAATTCGATTTGAAAAAAAACATCTTCGTTAATGTCGCCGTCTTCACACTGTCATTAAACGAGGCATATGAAAACAAGAATCAATGTTCAGACTACTTTTCTATACAACCTGAAGTTAGGAATGTTCATGTAACTTGTTGTCCCGTAGGGACTCCGTTAAAATGTGTTGATTGAGGTTGGGACTTCTCAAGTCTCACGCATTGGCCGTGAGACACACGCAATTCAAGAAAGTTGTCCTGCAAGCTTTATATATAACGTTGTATACGAGGCGCAGGCACACAAAGTGAAGTTTCCTGCCGCCAGCACGTGTCTAGGCCAGATTGCGTTCGTTACTAGGCAACATAGATGCGCGAACACACGGAAGTTGTCGATGGAACATTCTCGGCCACCGTAAGTTCGTTACCAAGTAACCAACAACATCGTGCGAACACACGTCGTGATGGAGAAGGTAAAGCTCGTCTAACATTTTTAGGCTAGAACATATAATATATAGCCCATCGTATACATTATTATTGATGCAGTCAAAAACTCTACAACTACTTTCCAACCAGGCCAGAAGCTTCGGCTCAGTTTGGCTAGCTTACGTCATCTGAAACTAAGGGAAATGTTAGTGGGTATGGGAAGGAATGAAGGTGTATTTCTTCATTTTATTTTAAATTATATATTATACTGTATTGATAGTCTTTCTAGTTACATTAAGGCTACATGTATTAAAGCAGACAACACAAAACACATTTCATAAGCTGGAGTGTGTACTCTTGTGTACACACACACACACACACACACCTTAATACTCTAATATGTCCATTTGTTCACAATGTTCCACCACACAATAAATCATTATACCATTTCGACTAGACACATTCAAGATGCAAAAAGATTAGTTTTTCCAAACTGTTTGGAGCAATTTGTTATATTTTTGTCATTTTTGTATATTTGTAATTTTGAAATATAACTTTAAAGAGTATATTTGATGTGATGAATCTCTCTGTCATTTATCAGATTTACCAATTGTTATAATTTCAATTTGTGCTGGTTAATTATGAACAATGGGTAAAATTGGGGGGCGGGGATGGGCGGGGGCGGGGGCCGGGATCCATTAGGGCTCCTCCTCTAACCGCATCTCACTCCAAGCTTTTGATAAAACTTGAGAATCCTTTGTGCATTGTAGGAAAGCATGTTTCTGGCTTGTGTGAATGTGGGAGTCTTAAGACAGTAGGGCATGTTTTCCTAGAATGCAGAAAGTATAGGGCAGAAAGAAATATATTCTTTGTTAACCTGGCAGTGGTCACTGGACACAGTGACGAGCATAAACTGATCTCCAAGGCAGTTCTTCAGTTCTTGCTTGACACAGGACTGTATGTAATAATTTAGTTCAAACCTTGACCTGTGGAGGGCAGTAATACGCTCAGCAGTGTCTACACTGCCGGAATCCTTATCCTACAAGAAGAAGAAGAACAATAACAAGAAGAATGTTCGTTCATGTAGATTTACTCAGGTTTTACTGAGAAACACATCTTTTTTGTAAGTATCATACATGCTGCATCTTCATCTGATTGGATCCCATGACCGCCTGATCTCTACAAAGATTTGTATGGACTCGCTGATTCTTGAGAGATAATTAAGGGAATTTATTTAAAAATAGCAACAAATGCCCTGATTATACAGATTTACTTTAGATGTAACTTTTTAAGTATTTTTAATTTTGTGAACTTCATTTTTAACATAAAGAGGGCTTTTGTGTGTAGGACACGTTTGGTCCCTTATCTCAAGATTCAGTTAACTACAAAGGTCAGGTGTTACAGGTGTTTAAGCACTGGCACATAAAGGAAACTCCTTTAGAGCATAGTGCACTACACTCATATACCTGTACTCTCTGTTATTTGATACTTACTGCTGAGCAAGAGTAGCTTTTAATTCTTACGACTACATTTCCTGCTTTTCTCTCCCTAAACAGCTCAACAAAGCAGCAATAATGAGTTCTTGTTCGGGACCAGAAAATCCCAAAGTTGTAGTGGTAGGTTCAGGTTTTGCAGGTTTGGCTGCTGCAGCCAAGTTAGTGCAGGCAGGATTTAAAAATGTCCTGGTTGTTGAGGCAAAGGAAAGAGTTGGAGGTCGAGCGCACACCACTAAACCGTTCAGCGAGAATGTCATTGAAGTTGGAGCTAACTGGATCCACGGGCAGAAAGGAAACCCTCTGTTCAAGATTGCGAAAGAGGAGAACCTGCTATCTGAGGGACCTTCTGCACGCAAAAACATGTGCCAGCCTCGTTCTGTAACTCCTCAAGATTACTTTTTCAAAGAAGATGGGAAGCAGGTCTCCACAAAAGTTGTAGATCAGGTGAGTTCGTGCTTCAGCAAGCTCACCGACAAAGCTTTTGATGATGAACTCAAGAGCAGGCACAGGAAACTAACTCTAGGTGCTTATCTGGATGATGCTTTTGGTGAAGCTCCTTTAGCGGCGACAGAGGACGCCCGGCAAGTTTTTGAATGGTGCAAGAGAATCGAATGCACAGATGAGGCTTGCTCCACCCTCTATGAGGTTTCTGCATCTCAGATTAGTTATTACACTGCTCTAGAGGGAGGATTTTTTAATACATTGGGGCCTGGTGGTTATCAAGCAATCTTGGATGTTCTCCTGAAAGATCTGCCTTCGGGAACTGTCCAGTGTAGTGCACCGGTCAAGAGCATCCAATGGGACTTGGTCAAAAAAGGTAGTGGTGAAGATCAAAGGTATCCTGTTAAGGTCGTCTGTGAAAATGGACAGAGCTTTGAGGCAGATCATGTGATTGTCACTGTATCTCTGGGGGTTCTCAAAGACAAAGCGACAACCATGTTCAAACCGTCCTTACCGGAGAAAAAGCTGTCTGCAATTGAGAATCTTGGCTTTGGGATAGTGGACAAAATTTTCCTGTTTTTTGAGGAAAGTTTCTGGCCAGATGACTGTTCCGGGGTTCAGCTGGTGTGGAAAGAAGGGCCTGAAGATAAAGATGTTTATGAGGCTCTGTCTGAAGGAGAAACCTGGAAAAAGACGTGGTTCAAGAAGATCACTGGTTTTGATACAGTGGCTCGTCATCCTACGGCTCTGTGTGGCTGGATCACAGGTAGAGAAGCTCTGTATATGGAGAATCTTCAGGACAGTGAAATCGGAGCTATATGTGTGAGGTATGGTGACATAAATTATGAAATATATGATGTATGATCATTTTACCATGGCCAAATATCTCTCGGTCAAATATCTCTCTCCATATATAACAAACTCTGTTTTGTCTTTAAAGGTTGCTCAGGTCTTTCACAGGCTGGACAGTG